ATGGTGTTCATGACATTGGAGCTTCTCCAGGATGACTTTTGTGGTTGAATTCGAAAGAGTCTATCTGACAACATGCCTTGGACATGGTTAATGGGCAGGAGTTGCTTATCGAAATGGAAATAGAGGTGTTTCTTAGATTTAATTAAAATATATGTTGGACAGATTTGCGGTATTAGTAAATTAAAAAAATACTGAATTATACTAATACATTTAAATAAAGGGTAACCACGCAAGTTGTGTCAAATATGTGTTCAGTTCGTCATGGAAAGCATTTTTTCAGTCAGATTTCCATAAATTAAGGCTGATATCGATCTACTATCGTCAATCAGGTCACTTTGAAAGATATACCTGCAATCATGGTGAGGAAAGATATATAATATTCATCCAACATGTGGAATCACACAAATCAGTTAAATATAAATGTGGTTAGTGCTTACTCTCATCTATCTATCAATGTATTTGTTTCATTAATAAATAAAAGAAAGTTGATCAAATATCAACACATATCAACGAAAGTAATACTATCAAGTCAATCAAGTATTCACAACATATTAACCACAAGTAGTACAAAGTTATATAGTTTAGAACCGACATTGTCCAACGTAATGTGACTGAGCCTTCAACTATATGATAGCGATATATTTTGTTGTAATGTAATCTATACGGAAAAAATATAATACCGAGGCACTAATGTTGTCTGTCGATGGTATGTTGTGCATTCAAACTCCTTTTTGTCCTTTATAAGCTTTTTCTGCTTACATCCTGAACAGTCAAACCCACAAAACTTCTGTAGGTCATTTGAAGTTATAATTTGTGCCTCCACATGGAAAATTCCAATCCATCAAGGAGAACAAAAACATTAAGGTGAAATGTATAGGAAAGAGCTCTTTTGCAATGTGAAAGAACTTAAAAGGAAAGGCACAATAGAAAGATTAACAACCTAAAGGAAAAAGAGCCACTGTAACACCAAAAGCAAAGTTTTGTCAAAAAATGCATGAATTATTTTTGACCAGTTTTTTCTTTTAACAACTTGTTTACAAGGTAGTTGATGGACAAAAACACCACAACCATAATGTAATCATTACCACGATGACCATCTAATATTTGACTTCACTAATTTTTCAAAATTATGTGAATAAAAGTAGATACCTAAATCAATCATTTCACAACATCTGTTCATTTACAAGGCTATGAAAAGGCCTTACTCATAGCTAGTTCATAACTTGTTATATGAATACTTCACATGACATTTGTCTTACCATGGAGAGACATAAAGCCGAATTTCAATCCCAGCCAACAAAAAAATACCATTAATCATGTGAAATAAGCAAATTGAACTTAAAATGCCCATGTCAATTATGTGGTCATTATATAGGGTATTTGTTAATTCTAAACAAAATAAAAATTTTAGGACTAAATTGATATATAGATTAAATGACGTATCTGTAAATTTGAATTGACAAGAAATTATAGAGAAGGACCTTCTTTTGTCTTATTGTTTCATGTGCTCCTTTATGTCGCTTCCGCTTCCGTTTCGGTTGTACCTCGTATCCCACTTTTCATTTTGTTGCCCTCTCTTTTCAATAGCAGTTTTATCCACCTTCGATTCGAAGAGAAGTTAACTGACACATTACTTAATTTTGAAATAAAAGAACTTGGAGAACATTAAAGTGTGTAATAAACATGAACAACACTTGGACCTTGAAGTCTACAACAATAGTTTAGTAGAAAGAAGAAGAGACTATGCTTATTCAGTAGAGGTCAAATGTCACATACTTTGTAAGACTTTTATAACAGTTTAATGCAGTGTTCGTCCTCAAACATGTTCAGTACTTATGGAAACCTTACAAGTGTTTGAGAAAGTAGACAAAAGGGTATTTTTTTTCTTAATATTTGGTTTTCCCATAAAGAAACCTGCATTTAAACCTTCTGAGTATCCATTTACCTATAAAGAGGCTTACGTAAAGTTCATTTGATGAATCTATGTATTCTTAAGGCTTTTTGTTTCGATTCCTTATTTCCCTTCCGGCTTCATTCATATGTAATCGCAAATATATTATAATAAAAATGTATTTATTATACACGTGGGGAAGTCGATTATCAAATTCATAATCTAATGTAAATGAATTCGTGTCATCAATACTCGTCATTGTTACAAAAAAATTGATATCACAATCAGCTATATGCATAATAGAAAAGCAAGAATAAACAATTAAAAAAACAAAAGAAGCTTAAAATACCAAACAATTTAGAGATATCCAGAAGAATAATAAGGAAAAAGCTAGCCTTTTACGACGCCAATTATTTGAAGTTCTTAAATGACTTTCGAAAGATCATACTTGTACCTTGTGAGAATTCTAACAAAAAACTTATCACATATATAATTTGTACGAACAAGAACACATAAATTTATCTTCTATCAAATAAACCAAAATTCTCTGTTTTTTCACAATATGAATAATTTAACAATACAAACTTCTTTTTGCATATTCAATGAAACGAATGGAAACCTTAGTTTGCACACCAAAAATAAATCCTCAAATAAAAAATAAATAAAACAACACAATGTAATGACAGTTGAGCACTTGCATATACAAAAAAAACTAAAAGAAGAAGCGGGAGTACAAAACAATAGGATCTAACATTAATTAGCCGATGAACAAAGTGAAAGTAATACCATAATTTTGATTGTTACGAAATTTGATGCCAAACATAAAAATAACATGCATCAAATAATAAACCACTTACCCATGAAACTTAAGTTCCTATAAAATTCAAGAAAATTAAAAAATCCTAAAATAAACAGAGTAAAAGTGCATAGAAATCCATATCCATACCGATGAATAAATGAAGAAGCTTGAGAATGGAAGGAGAAGGGAACAACGACTGTGGTTGTTTAGAGAAGACAGAGCTTATGTGGTTAAAGTGACAAATATACCCCTCCAAAATTGTTAGATCAGCACGTGTTTAAGGAAATTTTGGAGTAGACAGGTGTTCATTGTAGAAAGGCAAACACTATTAGATCTAATTATAAAAGCCCAAGTTTTAGGTTCAATTTAGATAGCTTTTTGTACAATGTCATATTGATGTGGTCGTCCTATTCTTAATGGCTTATATAATAGGGTAATATACTATGATGTTTTTTTTTCTGGAAAAAGGGCCTAAAATATCCCCATTCATCCACATATTGGCTCCCAAATACCCATGTCATCCACCTATTGGCTCTCAAATACCACTGCCATCCACATTTGAGTCCAATATTGACCACTTTTATAACGAAATATCATTTAAGTAATTAAATTATAATCAATAGATGGTCCCCACATATTAAAAAAATTAATTTAAACTATAATATGTAATAAAAGTAGTCAATATCGGACCCAAATGTAGATGACAGGGGTATTTGGGAGCAAATAGGTCGATGACAGGGGTATTTGGGAGCCAATAGTTACATGAATGGTAGTTTTTGTCACGCCCCCAACCTACACCTCGGACGTGACCGACACTCGATAACTATTAATAGTCCCCAAGTGGACCCTTGACCTGACTGACTACTTAGCGGAAAACTTACTCAGGCGATAAAAGGCTTAAAATAGAATTTTTGAACATCTAAACTCAAAGTAAAAAATCAACTCAAACTATTTGTAAAATACTCAATAACATCAGTATTATAGTTTGCAAAAACATCTCAAGGAAAAGTAAATACTAAAAGCCTCCTCAACTCTATCAATCTATGAAGCCTCTACTATTAAAGAAGGATGTCGGAACAAGACCCACGACATCTCAAAACTACTAACTAGAAAGTAAATGTGAAGTCCTTTAAAATGCAAGAAGGCTCACCAAAAACTAACTGGAGTGTAGAGTAATCTCAACGAAGTGCCTGTTGATGATCCTAAACACTTGTATTTGCATCATAAAAAGATGCAGGTCGAATGACATCAATAAATTGAATGTACAAGTATGTAATATAGCCGAAGCGAAATAACTGAATGAAAGGACTGTAATAGATATAACATAAACTCAACTAAATGTAAATAATGAAAGGAAGGAAATCATTTAAACTTTGCAAAAATACTTACTCATCTTTGATACTGAACATAATAAGTGATAAAATGAAAATACACTTTTAACTCTATTTGGGAGATTGCTAACCGACAACCATCACTATTGTTGTGTCGTAATTTGACTATCTCTAGAAAAAATCACTTTTTGAAATATTCTAAGTATAAAACACTAAAAGAAAAATACTTAGAAAGAGTCGCCACTTAATTTTTTTAAAGAAATTAAGAAAACTTATAATTTTCAAAGATTTAAACAGAAAAAATCGTTTGAAAATACCAAAGAGGGTTCAGGGTTCAATTTTACACTTCGAGAAAGGGTTTGAGCATTCGAAGTGTCCGCTAACATGCGATTGACCTGCGATTTGACTAAAGTATATATTGAAAATGATTTAACATAAGAATAATACTGTACAACATTTGATTAATTTCGAGAAAAATAATTAAATAAATGACACATTTTATTATTTCATTTTTAGAGAAAATGGACCTAAAACAAACATTTGAATTAGATTGCAAGTGATTAATATATTAAATAAACTAGACTAATTAAAATTTATTTAATTCATTTTAAAATAATAATTTTAAGCCAATTTAATAATTAAAGCATGAAAATCATTTTAAATTAATTGAGAAATAAACGTTTTGACTAACATTTTTGAGAAATGACTAAGTAAGTATATATAATAATAATTTACATTGCTAGATTAACTTTGAGAAAATAGTTAAACAAAGAGCAATTTTAATTTTTTAAGAAAATGGGACCTTAATTGAAATATTTGAATTAGAGACAAGTAATTAGAATTTAACGAAACTAAATTAGTTGGTTTTTATTTGAGTCATTTTTTGGTTTATGGAAAACTATTTTAAGCTAATAAAAATAAAAATAAAAATAAAAATAAAGTTTTGACTAAAGATTATAAATGAAAATACAAGTATTGGTCAAATGAGATTTGTTAGAAACAAAACAACACAAAGAAATATTTCGTCTTTTGGGGATCTCAACTAAGTTAATTAAAGTTAGAGTTAAATAAGATTAGTCAACACATAATCAAATAATTAGAAGAGTAAACGAGATAATGAAATTGGGCCCCTTCTTGGGCCAATTTCGCTATATTTTCAAGCTTCAATCTCATTCCCGTTTTGCGTATACTCTGGATGTATATCAGTGTATATGAGCATATATATCAGCTCTTTTCATGTATTTCTTACTTCCGAACACCTGTATGTCACCTTAGCCCTGTATTCCTGCGTTTTAGACCTGTATCTCACTGTTTTTGTCGTGTATATTGACGTATACCACTGTATTTCGGCTTATTTTCAGCATTCTGAGACTTGTTTTCAGTTTCCAACCTCTGTACAGCCCTATTCGGATGACCCGGCTAACTTAAAGAAAAGAGAAATCGGGCCCCTATGGCCCAATCATTGAAATGCAACGGGAGGGTAGAAGCCTATGAGGACTCGGACATATTTCACATGCAATAAGGTAAAGGAAAGGAGTTAATATATAATCCAATTAACAAAAATGCAAGAAGAACACACTAATTTAATGCAAAATGCATATTTTGACTCAAGAAAGATGTATACTAACAAACAATCCTACCAAAGGGAATCACAGAGAGGCATACTGGACATCAACAAATTTGGAGAATAAAATATAAAATAAAATAAGCATAATAGGAGAACACAATAGCCACTTAAGCTTAATGAATTAATGTGTCTACTATACATGCTTACAGATGCCAAGATAGAGAGAAAAGGACACAAAAAAAAGGACAAAGCTACTCATTATCATGCATATTAAAAGATATAGCAATAATACATATACTACACTAAAGGACACATGAAAAGCTATTCTTGTCTTGAATGATATGGAAGTGATTACTCATGAGCGATAATAAATTAAAGAGGATAAAAAAAAACAACAAAAAGTAGTCATACGTTACTACTAATGCTCATTTTTGAGACAAGTGGGGAAGTAAAGGAAAATATGTTCATGCACTATGTCCTTTATAGAATATTAGACCAACAATCCAATTTTTTTTAAAAAAAATGAAGAACTTTAACACTTATTCCAATATAGCCTTCAAGAAGAAAAAGACTACAAGAGATTGACAAAGAAAACTAAAAAAAAAGCACATCATCACGCGAATTCTAACTACAACCGACAAACTTCATCAATAAACAAAATCATTTTAGATAAATGCTTAAGCCATGGCCACAATGATCTTGAAAAGGACAAGGATAATATTCTTATAATATTCAACACAAACTTTTATCAAAACATTTACTTTCACCGTTCCCATAAAGAAAAATGCATTAGTTGAACAAATTTCAATAAACATGAAGCATTAGGATTCCTTTTGTAGTAATTTTGAAAAATTTCATTAGTTGAACAAATTTAAAAAAAAATGAAGCATTAGGATTCCTTTTGTAGTAATTTTGAAAAATTAGAGACTAAGGACACCTTTGAAATTTAAACACAACATTTAAACAATCCTTTGAAATAATGTTAAGCACAAGGAAACTTGGAACAAGGCAAGTTGTAAACAGAGACCTAAACAATTGCTATTAGACACATTCGAACGACTCCAACAAGTATCACACAAATATTGACGCTACAAAAGAAACTAAGAACGAGCATGGACCAAGCATGATGAATCAATCCTATTCAAGACTACTACTCGCAACTCGGATAACTCATTTTTGAGAAT